CCATTTAATGAAGATTAAAATAGGTGTGTGCTAATACAAGTAGTATTGTACCTTCTCGTTTATAGAGTATAGAGAAATTATTGAAGTTTTGCACACTAATTTAATACAATCTTGACAGTTTGTAAAAAATCTAAAACTAACACTACCTCAATATAATATTGAGTGTATAACTAGACATGCATTAACTATAAGATGGCAAAGAAATATAGAGATAATTCATAAAACAAAATAAATTTTTAAAATTATTTCACTTTTATTTCAAAAACATGGCAAGTGGGGCAATTATGAACATTTAAAAAATCAGGTATTTAAAAATTGTAAAGAACATTTTTCCTCTTGGAAACAATTTTGCATTGCGGTAACCACTCTTCATCACTGGATGAAGAGAAAGCCTCCATTTCTTGCTCCTGAATTCTGCTCTCTTCTTTCACAGGCCGAAGTTTTCCTTTATAATTGCGGACTATTCTGAAATAAGAACAAAATAAAATGTTAGAAATTGGGATGTTTAGCTATAAATATTGCATAAATTATGATAAATAATATAAGTACAGAAAAAATAATAATAGATAAAGAAATAAAAGAAGTCTGTGGTAATGTTACGTAATTTTAATAGCAAAGTATTTTAAAAATAATAAAAGTACTATGTTCTAGATCTAGTACTATTTAAGCACTTTTTAAAATTAAATCATGAGTTGTGCATTACAGAATTAGCCCCAACCAGTTAAAATGATTTACAATAATAGCTAAACCCTCTAAAGAGTATAAAAAGTAACATGGGACATTCCAAACTATAGGGTATGGAATTGCCCCACACCATGTGTGTGGAATTGTCCCACACCTACTAATGAGAAAAATATGCTTTCCTGTTCTAAATTAAAGGCTTAATCTAGCAGCATTAATTGTTACTATTAACAAAAAAATGATTAAGCTTTCATAAAATCAATAAACTATTGACAAAAATTTAAAAATTAGACAAAATAAACTTTTCTTAAAAAGTGCAGGGGTTGTACTTACGTAAGGATGTTTGAAGATAGATGCAGATAAAATTAAAATTCTTGCTCTGATTGTAGATGAACGCTTCTCTAACAGTATCAGAAAGTACAAGAAATGACCTCTTAGAAACAGGAAATAGAAACTTTTAATTAAACTTGACTCCCTTTTAAAATAGAGAGTATTCAGAATATAGTGTGTGGAATTACCCCGTGTGTGGAATTACCCCGTGTGTGGAATTACCCCGGCTTACCCCCAGCAACCAGTCTCTACACCAGAACGTCACTTTCGCACTATACGCGTCATCATTCCATGCGTTCAACATACCTTTCGCACCAACATTCACTCCCGCCGATCTATAATATAGATCATACCATGCATCATAACATTAACCCCCCCCCCTATCCCACTGAAGCTAATAGTATTAGCTTAGACTCACGTAGCAAAGTCCCACACATTGTTTAATCTAACAATATCAAGTCATTATATTATCAACTCCTAATTAATTCATACTTTCAAGTTTTTAGCTTTACTCTCACATCAGTTTATTATATTCCAAATATACTGGCATTCATATTATATCAATGGTTGGTCTTAGAATCTCAGTCCATCCAGACAAGATATTGGGTATCACATCGGCATTGTCCATCTTCTCTCAACAGTTGCTATAATAACGATAAAAACCAAACGCCACATTAGTTTAAACCAAAACTATTTGTGATGATGAACAGAGCCACAGTACCACCAGTTGGCACATGTGTGGTTGTTCTCATCATAACATAAAAACAGCGTAATATGTCAATACCATCATCAGTTTCAGTATTCTGAAACAAAAAAATAAGTATCATGTCCTAATATCATATCGCACAATGCCCCGCACACACAGAATCTCATTATCTCCACAATATGTCCGTACAAGTATATCAGATTTATCAACAACCTAGAAACAACATGTATTCAACATATCTTTGGTAACATATTAATATCATGAACTCAACGTATGTTACAACATGTAAACACTAACTTCAACAGTATAACCGTAATTATAAACACCTCAATATAGAATGTGTGGTCTATCACATTTTATTAATTAATTAGAAATCATGCATATTATCTCACACCATATTGTTTCATATTTAATCAGTGAGATACCCTTAATCGATCACTCAATAACTCGGCAATTTTAATAGTAATCATCTAATAATCATATATTTAATAGTCATTCCAAATGTTCCTTACAATCCCATTAAATTAGCGTAATTCACAGTGTAATCCAGTACTTCATCATCCCACACCAAACATTTCTGATACAACCCACTGCGTTCACAAGAACACATATGTATCTCCAGTCATATGTGTATGATCTATATCAGTATATTCGTGCATCAACTGAATCTATATGTGCTTTATTATGACCTAGATAAAATATCAGCTATCTGATTTTGTGTACCTGGGATATAGACTATGTAAAACGTGTAATCCTGTAGTAGTAATGCCCATGTTGTTAATTTAGCATTTCTTATTTTATTTTTCCTTTCCAGGGCAACGAGGGGTAAATGGTCATTCATTAATGTAAAAGGTGCCCTTAATAGGTACTTTGATTACTTGGTTATTGCCCAAGCTATTGTCAAGAATTCCCTTTCTATTATAGCATAGTTCCTTTCTGCCGGAGTTTCCGAATGATGTACAGTATAGGATGTAAGTGTAGGAGGTGTAGAATAGTGCTGGGGAGGTGTAGACTAGTGCTGTGGAGGTGTAGACTAGTGCTGGGGGAGGTGTAGACTAGTGCTGGGGAGGTGTAGACTAGTGTTGGGGGAGGTGTAGACTAGTTTAATGGTAGGCGTCGAAATTAAGAGGTGTAGACTAGAACGGAATAAGTACAAAAACGTACAACGTCATGATCCTATCACTTATCTCTGATGGCTCAATGTACAAAGTTAGCGATGTACCGACTTTTACATCCTCAGATGTGTTGTATTAACTTGCTGATACAGAAAGGTAGGTCTGATCCCAACAAGTTGTGATCTGTAGTTGGTTAAAAAGTAACGTCTTTAGTCGAACAAACCTTAGACAGAAACATTTAGGCGTTCCGTTTTGTGCTAAATATTTGTCTCTGTATGGCCTGGTATAAATAAATGTCAATTGAATTAAATAAGTCTTGTTAAGATTGCATTAACACGATAAATGTCTTTATTAACAAAACCTGAAGTTATACGGTTGTACGGCACGTATCAATGGACAGAAACGAGTTGACGAAAACAATGTCTACGAAACAAACATAAAACCCCACTATTACCGAAAAGCAATTTCGACTATTCGTTACACATTTAAAATTTCTTCTTTAATGAACATCAACGAGTTGACAAAAGTAGAAAAAATTAAAACATTAAACGAAATTTCTTCGGTAATCATGTTACATTATTTCGTAAACACTGCAGTGAGAAAATCAAGGAACGAAAATTAATCCATAAAAAGAATATTGGAGCTTGGAAATCAAACAAACTTTTTTTAAAAGTTTTTTTTTTTACTTTTGAACGAACATATTTTACACATTTAAGAAACTTTAGTAAAAAAAATCGAAGTGTGTGTAAAATGGTGAATATGTATTTACTTCACTTGTGCATGAATCGTCTTTCTATCAAAATAAATGGTGCATACTTAATACTACATGTATGTTCGCCAGTTCCATAAAATTATATTATTTTATCTTCTTAACTCATAGAAATATTATACTGTAAAAAAACAACTTTAAACAAGATACGAACACTAAGATTGTTTGCTGACAGCTACTTGGGCACAAGGCATATCCCCATAGCATAGTGTTGTGGTCATCCCCTTGGCCATGCTTTCCACAATCGAAATGCATATTTTATTTTTTTTTCAAATATTTTCAATAGTAATTGTTATTTTATTCAGAAATCATTTTTGTATGAGTAAATGTGTATTTATTTGACTAGAGCGGCATGCTGTATGCGCAGCATGCGTATGTTTTTATATGAATAAATATTATTTTAAACCAATTTATTTTAAATTTATTTACCTAAACCTAATCATATACCACATTATTGAAAAAAAAATGCCTGTCTCTTTAAAAACTGGGAGATTTTGCAAATTGTAACTTTTAGCTCTCCCATTTCAAAAGGTTGCCGACCCCTGGCATAGTTGAAAAATAGAATCCATTTACCTAAGATTTTTATTTGCATTAATTGCTTCCCATTTACAAAGTCATTGTAAACAGGGGAAACAACCAGAATCTTATGTTTCTGTTAAAGATAAGAAAACAATAGTATAAAGAGAACAAAAAAACTTGTTTAATTTATTATAAACAACATTTCTTTTAATATTTAGATATGGGATATTATTTCTATTCTTGAAAATTCTTTATATATTTTAATGTTATTTGACTCTATGTGGTGTTTAGAAAGCACTAGCTCAAGGAATTCCTGAATTATTTAAGTTGGTAAACCTCGAGATAACTATGTTCCTTTGTAAATCTGTTGGTATTTGTTTTGGCTCCCTTGAAATTAAGAGACCTATTACGAAACTAGAAAGAGATACACACCTCACCCCCCCCCCCCACACACACACACACACAAACACTTTCCCCCACTCAACCGGACTGGCGGATTTTTCAAGGTAGCGTGCCCTCTTTGTCAAGGGTCAATTTTATGTCATGGAAAGTTTTGGAATGATAGATCAGTATGTGTACTGCAGAGACACTCCTCCCACGGTCGTTTCTATTTCTGTCCATGTGTGGCTATAATGTGAACTTTTGACTCCTCAACTAAGGACAAAGCACAGTAAACTAAGCAGTCAAGAGAAACCTAGTTTGCGCACCTTATTTTAGTCTAGTTCTTATGCCATTTTATTTTCTCCATTTGATTATTATATATGCAATTGATGTTCATGTCTTTGATGCTGTGTAAAATATATCAAATAAATAATTATTACTGATTATTACGAAAGACATCTGATATTGAAATGTAAGTTGAAAAAACAAACAAAAGGAAATGTCAAACGAAGCTATTTCAAAACCTTTATTGAAAAATGTCCTGCATAATGGTGTTAGACGCTGTATTTGTCAACTTAAGCGAATAACCTTCAGATTTTGCAAGTCACATGGTGGAAGTAAGCAAATGAGTGAATTTATTGAGAATAATTTGCTGGAATTCACACAGAACAATCCGGAAGTTGTTGTTTATTTCCAACCTAGACGAAACATAAGCCCCTGAAATGTGTAAGTGGACTGAACACCTGAGAACCAGGTCATGTGTTCAGATTGTTAGAATGATTAAAAATAATCACACAGACACTCCCATCACACAAGGCATATGGCAGCCATTCATGTTCAAGGAGACTGAATGGGCAGTGACTAAGTTCCCCAATGAGAAGTGGTCATCTGTTCTCAAGGTTGGAAAAACAGCTACAGATTATGTGCTGGAGGAGCAATCAGACAAATCCCAACATGACATCAAGACACGCTGCATACATGAAGATAAAAAATAATTGTTTCGTCAACACATGTTTCTACATAACTCTAATTTGTTTTGTAATCAGATATTCATTCAAAATTTTCTACTATAGTAATTAAAAAACAATTGAATTCAAGGGAAATGAAGAAAGTATTAAAAAAATCGTTTCTTATGTTTGGGTGAAATGTAGCTGCACTCCAATTTGCAAACGAAGAATGCAATTACAAAAAAAAAATAAATACCAGGGATTTTTCGAGCCTTGTTTAGAACGTTTCTAATTTTTTTTTTTTCAACAACCAACCTCGTTTGCCTCATATGTAAGCTAATCTAGTACTGTTTCGTCAATACATATTTATACATAACTCGGATAACTGTATATTTTGTTATGAGAAATTCATTTAATAGAGAATCCACCAGGTGGGTTGTAATGCAAGTACCATCTAACCTTCTCGTATACAAATTATAGAGAAAATATAGAGGAAATAATTGCTCATAGTAGATTTTGTCGCCCCAGAATGACTTAGAAAGAAAAAAAAACGCAAAGATTGTTAAACATTTAAGTGAACCTTATCAGAAAATAACAACTACATAAAATGAAATGGTAGATGTACGTTGATATGCACACCAGTGGACTTAATAGATAAAACAAGAGAATATTTCCTTTTATTAGTTGTTTCCCATTTAAAAATGCATGGCAACTAGGGGAAGCAACCAATACCCTGAATATTTGCATACGCACAAAAGCAATACAAAATAAACTAAAATAATGTATTTATTATAATCGACAGCTACAAATATATTCTTAGGTGATATCCTGTCTTTTCTTGATAAATTGTGGATTACAAATGGTAGGGCATATTTTGTATAATCTTGAAAATTCTTCGATTAAAAAAAATACATTATTTGACTCCTCTTCTTCTTCTTCTTCGTTCTTAATTATCAGTGTTGAAGGGGATCGAGAATTATCTGCCAGTGCGTTTGAACTCGAGACTTTGTTCAAATTTAACAACCATGAGCTTTTTGCCGACTCGACCACGCCTCCAACACAATTAAGCGTTACGTGTCAACTGGTTATGCGCCATTGAGGCCATTGACTCCGATTTCAGCCTGCTTTTCTTTTTGGATTTGCTTCCATAGCCTTTGTCCAACCAAGAACAAACTACAAGGCAGCAGTTGTTTAATTTTGGAGTTGTCTCTCCTAGAAGAGTGGCTGTCCCCAGCTAACGAGCCTCATCTGCCCGGGGGTTCGAACTCGAGACTTTTCGGTTTAGCAACCATGAGCTTTACCGACTCGACCACGCCGACCCCATTTGACTCCTAAAAGCGTAGAAAAGCTTTAGCTCAAAATCTTGCTTAATTGTTTAAGGAGGTTAACCTATATATAAAAAAAATATATTTAAAAAGTGTTATTTAAATTTAATTTTGGATCCCTTGAAAACAAGGGTCAAGATCTAAATGTATATTATCTGTTGTTGTTCTTACGTGACATGTAGCTGCATTTAGTTTGCAAATAATTATTTTGTAGCGTAATTTTTTTTAAATAATTTATTTAAGCCTTTTCATGGTTCGACGGCAAACCTTGTTTGTTCCTTATGTAAATTATTCTAGTACTCTCCATTTAATGGAGAATCCACTAGGTGGGTGATAATGCAAGTACAATTTTACCTTCTCGTATAAAGAGTATAGAAAATGTATTGTAATTGTGCGCACACATTTAATACAATTTTGACAGTTTGTTCCGTTTAACACCTCCCTACTTAAACGTATACGGAGTATAAAGGATTTTATAAAAATTGCAAAAAAAAATCTAATTGAGAGTTGGACAAATCTGGACTTCTTACAACCGCCCGAAAAACGTATTGTTGCAGTCCTGTCCATTTCAGTTAGCTTGACAAAATTTCGTGTAATTTTCTGTAAACTTTGGAACGATTTCCAGTAAGCGTAACAGGTGGTTACTTTACTTTCGGTTATCAAAAGCCTATATCTTGCGTACCGTTTACAGGGAGGGGGGGGGGGGGACGACTGGTATTCTCCTTTCATGGAAAATTTCAATTTTTTTCATCTAAAATCATTTTTGTTTAGGATTTTGAATATTTAATGAATGTGGGAATTAGTTTTTTTTTTGTAAACGCTGTAAGCTGCTGTTTTCCCCAATACTATTATTGAAAAAGTAGTTATGTATCAAGATTGTTCCTTAGTATGCTATTACATACATGTATATGATAAAATATTTAGACAATAAAGCTTCATTTTGAGTTTTCTCCGTTTTGTCAATGTTACGGTATGGAACTCGGGGGAAGCAATTTATCTCAAAATGTTAATGAGAAATTCTTCAAATGGCCAGTGTACGTTGCGAACACATGTATCTATAAAGTATTAGAAGGATGTTGCTGCACTTCTATTGTTAACAAACTTGTGAAAGTTTTAGAATTGTTTTCAAAGAAAATCATATGACATTGTTTTTATTCATTTTTAAAATTTCGCAAAAAAATAATTTTGTAAGATATCAAAATTTCCTTCTAGCATGTAGTGCTTGGTCATGTCTACTAGGAAAGTGCCAAGTTATTTTTCGTAGTTTTTAATTATTTTTTTTAGTTATTTTGATTCTACTGTGTACCTCAATACTGTTACTTTGAACCTATATTTCGCTAAAATGTAATAATTGGCCAGAAATAAATACAACGTTATAATGTTTAAAGTATTTTAAAGATAATACATTGTAAAGAAAATCATGTATCTTATAATTTGTAACCAAATGTGTTTTCACTACCGGTATTCCCCCCCCCCCCCTCTTGGATTAAAAAAAGAACTTTATAATTTGATAATTTAATATCATACTTGCATAAAGCATAAAAAACGAGGGTTTTGTCATCCGAACCCTTATTGTTACTTAAGAATATACGAGAAAGTTTAAAGGAGATCACTCCCGTTTTATTTTGTTTTGCCCCAGAAACTGCTAGACCAGCATGGCCGACACGGCCAAGTTTAGCTTTAATTAAAACATTTCAAGCTATAATGGTCAATTTAATATAGACATCATTAGTAAAAGAACAGTTGAAGTAACCTTTGTAAGCGGTAAATGATTGACAACAGTGTGAAACACGACATTTAAAACTCAGTAAAACAAAGTGATTAATGAACAAGACATTGAGATAGGCATCACATTAAGTTATGGGTACGCTAATCTTTTGTAAGCAATGATGTCAACCGTAAAAATGTTATGAGCCCCAACGTCAAGGGTGAAGAAATTATACCTTAATACTGATAAAATTATTCCAGTAATGAAATTTAACCAGTAGGAGGGACCGAGACGTGGAACACAATGGGATAATGTGGTGAGCTTTGTTTCACTAACTCGAGTCAGGTACCCATCAGAGCTGAGTCGACTCAGGACGTTCCACTTATTTGAACCGGGATTCGAACTCGAGATTCTCGGGTTAGCAATCTAGCTCCCTACCGCTAAAAAGTGTGTTCAAACTAAGTAGAAGTTATGTATGTTTGTGCGTTATTTGTTGAATACTATACAGTAGCATTGTTTTTACTTTCTCGTATATACGTAGTATAGAGAAAGTATTGTAATCGTGCAAAAAAAAAAATCGAGATTTTTACAAATCTCGACGTTTTACACCTCACTGATACGGAAAAACATAATTTTGCAATCTTGTCCGTATGTCTGTGTGTGTGTGTGTCTGTGTGTCTGTCCGTGTGTAAACACGATAACTTGAGTACCGTTACAGCTAGGTTGATGAAATTTCATATATAAGTATTTTATCAAAATCGTAGATCCGTATCAACTTTTGAGCGATTTCCGATAACCGGAAGTGGTACTTTTCCTACTTTGAATTTTTTAAAAGCCTATAACTTGAGTACTATTTCAGATAGATAAATGAAATTTCACATGTAAGTAAAAGATCTAATTCTCTACCTTCTGTTAAATTTTGAGTAATTTCCGTTGACTGGAAGTAGTAATTTACGCTACTTCCGATTTCTCAAAAAACTAATGTAAATTTTAAAAGTACTAATAATATTGCGCACTAATATGCGCTTTTTTTATTTGCGTTCACTTGGTGTGCAATTAATTTGTCTACGAGATTTTATTCTATTTTTAAAACTTTAAGTATTTAAAATGGATTAAAAATCATGTCTATAGCCCGAGTTTCCATCCCCTGTTATTTTATATAAGAATATTCGAGAAAGTTTAGGGGAGATCACTCCCGGTTTATTTTTCTCAGCACAAAAGATTTAAAAAGTTCAAACCAAAATCGACGTCCTTATCGTTTATTTAGAGGTTGATACTGCACTAGTAATGAAGGCGGATACTTTTTTTAAAATGTTCTTATTAGCTATTTCGATACTTATAATATAGCTAAAATTTTAGCAATGATTAGATTTTTGTGTTAACTAGTTTTGCAGACTCGTTAGGCAGTATTTAATCCAGACTTTTTTCTCCAAAGCTTTTATGATAGAAACATATTAGTTTTATTTTCTTATTTTCGGTGCATTTAAAAACTAGTTGCTATAAAGGGATTTTTTTTTTTTTTTTTTACATTTGTTACATTTAACTTTTAACCATACATTTATTAAGATATGAACAAATTGATTTTGTAAAACTCAATTTTTGTTTGCTGAAATACAGTTTTTAAAGCTCTGGTGATGACAGTCACTGTTTGATTAGAGATCTAATGTACGCTACTGTTTGTCGCATAAGATTGCTTTCTCATGTATAGCTTACATTTTATAAAGTTGTG